TATCTTTATTAAAAGATATTACATGAAAAAGATCGTATATATATGTTTAATCTTTTATTTCATATCAAATTTATTATATACATACATCCAAACTTTTTTATTATGTTGTAATGAGATACTTCATATATACAAATTATAAAATTATTATTTTCATATATAAAAATTTACTTTTAATTTTAAATGTTACAATGCAAATTGATTGGCACTTTTATTATAAACATATATAAAAAAAATTTATCGTAATTTGAAATTTATTATCCTTAGAACATTGCAACCAAAAATTATATACATTATAATACGTAATTATAAATTTGAATAAAATTAATAATCAATATTTAATTTCTAAATATATTTTAAATCAAAATGTCAAATATTGATCCGCAAAATAAATATTTTTAATGTAATAAATTAATTTAATCATTTCTGTATAAATGTCTAAATATATCGTGCAAAACATATCTTTTTTAATAAGAGGTATAAAACTCATATAATGAAAATAAATTATAATTTCGAAACATTTAATTGAACATGCTTGCAGTTGTAAAATATATCTAAAATAAAATTATTTTCCATATTTTCGAGAAATAAAAGTTTATCGATAACCGTTGATTTTTTCATATATAGTTAAGATGGATTTAATAAACTCAGTTTTTTGGAAAAATACTGTTAATTTCTTATTTAATTAAAATTAAAATTAAAATTAAAATTAAAATTTAACTAAAATTAATTTTGACTTGAAAACAAAATTTAAAAATAAAAAACAACGCGATTGACAATAAATAAACAATAATCTAATGCACACCATTATTCACAAAAGTAGTTATGTAAAAAATATATTTTTGCTTTGACTCGCAATTTAAGAATTTCAGCTATAAAGGTCGTGAGACAAACATTGGCAAATTCAATTCGTCTCTACACTTTACACTGAAATAAAATTCAAAAAACGCATAAATCGACAGGAAACATGTCAACCGTACAATTCTGTCACCCGCATTTCTCGAATAACTCATGCGACCACGATCAACCGCAGACAGACCACAATTATCCGTATCTCTTAATTCACGTAATTCACGCCTTCTCTCAGTCCTGTAACATGAAGGAATGACGTCGCCGCTATTCGCATATTCCGCGCGGGTATTTCGCACCTATCTCACCAACTACGCTCGCCAATCTTCTCGAGGTGCACGCAGTCGTGAGCACCGCGAACCTTCCCTTGAATACAGATTACTCTGAACACTGAATTTTCCTCATCAAAACTCTAAATGGACGGCGCGCGTCTCGTCTCTTCGTCTGTCATCTGTTAAATATCACGGCGAGTAAACTTCTGTCGATACTTGTTAGTATGTAACATCCGTAGTGTCGACGCGGATTACTAGCAGTGTAAAGATTACAAAACTTTGTCCAAATGACTTTATAGAATATATCTCTTCACTTTCGAGACCGCCCGACACTCGGTTCGGTGTCTCAATCGTGTTGAAATGGGATATACTCTTCCCCGGTTTGACCTCTGATATCCACAACCGAGAGAAGATATCCAGTTCATCCTGCACATTTCAGTACGCGGAATTGGTTCCACTCTCGCCGGGAACTATCAGCCAGCGCCGGTATTAAACTTTCGATTTTATAGCGCGTGTCGTGGCTATATCGATCGAATGCGGAAGGGGGCCAGACAAACCATATCGTCCGCGCCTTCATCGGAAGAGAATATTTCGCTAGAATATTATTAGCAAGAGCTTCATCGAGTTGTTAACTGGTCGTGTACTGCAGCGTACATCGCCCCAGCTGAATTTACAACGCGCCGACTGCACTCCGGGCGATTTATACTTCAGCCGAACGACGGCGATATCTACGCGTCGAGGCCCACTTTGAATTATGACGGAGTCAAAAAGCGGGAGAGAACCGTTCGTAGCTCATGTTTGTTCACAGATACGGTTTTTGATAGATGATGCCAGTGAATAAAGTTCAATAGAGCAGCAAAATTGTTACTTTTTTATCCATTGTATTGTATTTATGGTATTTTTACGTAGTTTATACATTTTTCGTCATTTTGCATCACTATATCCAGCCAATCAAATTTTGAATAAATTTTTCGTAAAAATACGATAAATTCTTTTTATTTCTTTTCTTGTAATTCTGACAGCGCAATAACACCAATCTTTACTTTTTAAATCATGTTGAAAATATAAAGTGATTAAAATCATAAAAAATATCATTGAAAATACACATCATAACTATTTATATATATACATAATAAATAAACATCAGTGAAAATAGTTGATAAAGAAAAAAAAAACAAGAAAATAAATTCAAATATACATATATTGCGTAATAAAGTTTGTTGACTAGTCACTAGTTCATATGTATATAATATCTAAACTTTTCCGAGCGAAAATAAGTATAACAAAAGGTAGAGGGTAGTTAATGAACACAAGGGAAATAACGCTAGTAGCAGCAGTAACAGTCGCGAGATAATATCAGATAATTACCTAATGTATAAGAGGTATTTTGCTTGATTATTTTTTTATATCTAGCGGCATTAAGCCAATCGTAACTACATGATCATTACACGTGCAAGACGGTACTATGATGATTTCTTCACGTGATACGAGATTCTTTTTTTTGAGTCAAACGAGACCGTAAGGAGGCCAGAGTAAATTTCCATTACGGTCCACGGCAATCTCAAAGGGAAACCCGTCCCTGTGAGGAAACAGAGCGCGAACGGCAACGTCGTTTCACGTAATCACGCAAAGTTTTTTGCGAAACATTTTCCCGCCCGCACATCATGTATAACTTGCCAAGCTGAATATGCCGCGCGTCGATTTTGCAGCTGCCGTCCCGTGCCCCTCATGCGATTTATATCCAACTCCTTAATTACACCAGTGCCGCAGGATTGCCGGACCGAGGCAGCGCGGATTAATTGGATTATCGACCGTCGTTGGGCATAATATTTTCGCACGAAAACAAAGATCAATGTTCCTCGCGAAGGGATAAGAAGGGCTCTTTTGGGACCCACCGCGGTCCATTTTTTGCGCGCCTTCATTTAAAGAATAAAATTTTTGCGTTAAAGAAAAAGAATCACGATCAAAATTGTTCAATTGATTTTATCATTAACAAATTCTATTAATGATAAAATTAGTTTCTAACGATGGGAGAGAAGTAAATAATAATACTCACAAGTGAGAAGAGGAAAGGAGAAGAGGAAGAAAAGGAAAGTGTGCGCAAGGCGAAAATAAAAGAGAATACTTGCAAATCTTTGAATTTTCAGAAAAATGGAGAAAAGAATTAAATTATTGTGGATAAAACAAAGCTAAAATAAACATTTTACAGTTTTTTATCTTCAATTTAAAGCATTTGTTCTATACGACGAAGGGTAATGATTGATCTTGAAGGAAAAAAGCATGAACACTGACATATAATATGATTATATAATATAATGACTCGTATTTTTTGCTGATACGTAACGATGCTTCCTTTTGTTGCAAACCTGAACAACAACTTTGTTCAAATTGTAAAATTTTATATTAAAAACGATATTCATGATCCCGCTATAACGCTTAGAGGTACGATGCAAAATCGCGAGATTTTGCATCTGATTGTGACAAGAAAAAAGAGAACTGCTAAAAGGAATCCTGTTCATGATAGAAACCAAACGAAAATATTACGAAAATAGAACCGTAATAACAGACAAGATTGAAAAACAGAGAAGACATGTGGAAATAGTAAAACCGGCAATATCTGAAAATGTTACATGTTCGGGTAATGCAGTAACAGTACGTATGTACATACGGCGGCATAAAAAGAATATTTTACGCGTATCCACAAAGTTTGCTATTGTTTGCGCGTAGTTTTTTTTTCTGCCGACAACGCGGAGAAAGGAAAGAAAAAATATGTTTCTTTTACACAGTTTACCATTATTTCACTGTGGTAAAATAACAACCACAGCGCTGTAATCACTGACACATATACTGTCCGTGAACATCTGCAATATATTGCGATAAACAGTCTCGGAGATTGTTATCTTACAATTATAGTTGCGGAGTTATTCAATATTCTTTTTGTTAAGACCGCTTCACAAAAATTCACGCACGTCTAATCAATAAACAGCTACTTTGCTCTAAATAAAATCCAATATCTCTGCATCATTCTGTTAAAACGAAGTTCACGAAGATCACGAAGCTAACATGATAACTACATAGCTAATCTTGCGCCATAAAAATTTTTATTTGACGCAGGCGAACATATAAACGACGAAATATCTGCGAGCGTTTACAACGTGAACATTTATGTCCACTTCCAATTAATCTTCTACACAAAAATATATCAAAACGCGTTCCAAAAGCGCAGAAGTCAATTTAGCCGGATAGAAAACCGATTATTTTCATGTTCTCTAAAAACGAAGTGAACCGTACGACCTATATTCTATTCTATATGGAAGCAATTTGTTTTATGATTACTGAGATAAATTTTGTATATTGTTCCTTTCTTGTCTTATTTTTTTCCGAGACAAAAGCATTTCACTTGAAATGGCAGGTCATTTAAATAGAACGCTTCATTTTAACATACCCTGTATTAATGTTCAATCTCTCATGTAACAATCCAGAAAAATGTATTTAACTTTTTTCAATGTACATTGTAAAAGAAACTACGCGTAATTCTTGAGTGTCCGCAATCCACGATTACAACTTGTTTAGAGTGCCTTAATAGTAAATTACTTGGTGCAATTTTACTTTTCCGAGGAAACTTCATTTAATTTCCTAATGCCGCGTCGCGAGAACCCGGGAAGTTGCTGCACGTACCGCCGTTAGATTTTCGCGTAGAGTGCGTTTTGACCCGCCGCGCCGCGCCACGCCGTCGCGTCGGAGGGAAATTCGCGACGCAGCGAACAGTATCTGCACAATCTCACCTCGGCGCAGTTTGTTTGTGCACAGGCTATTAGGCCAGACCGCGTCCGACGACTATTAGCGGCCACCGCGAGGAATTAATTAATCCTTTCATTAAAGCCGCTGCGGAAGACCACACGGATGCCGACTGCCTGATCGTGGTTGCAATGTCACACGGCGAGTCGGGTCTATTGCATTCGACCGACAGCATGTATCCAGTCGATACGCTGTGGAGTCCCTTTACGGGCGATCGATGCACCAGCTTGCTCGGCAAACCAAAGTTGTTCTTCATTCAGGTACGCATATATCTAACAGATATTCCCGGTGTATGTATTTGTATGTACCTATGAGAATCGCGCTCGGTTGAATCGAAGCGTATACGAGAGCGCTATCCGCACGATTTCGACGAACAATGAGCGGTTCCGCGCTTAAAGAAGCGAAGCCACTTCCCACTTTCGTTCACTCCGGACGATCGCCCAAATGATGGATCATCCCAAGTGAACCGTCTAAGCGGTGTTACATGCTGAGTAATTCGCGGGAGATTTATACGGATCATGTGAAGTGATTTATGGGTTAATATAAGCTATTGTACGGCCTGGTGTTGAAGTTAATTGCGCCTTCCAGGTAAGTGTAGGGGTCTCGTGCTTGGATTACCTTCTCTTTCCGTATAGTTTGACGAGACGACTCGCAAAGATATGTATATTCTCTCCTTGTTTTTCCTCACAAATATTCTCAATCGTATTTATAGTACTTTGCTTCATAAGTGTAGTTCGAATATTTTCGTGCACAAATCAAAGTTTAATGAACAAATTACCTTTGAATAATTTAAAGAGGCAATGAAGAATGAGAACGTAAACCGCGTAAAACTATTTCTATAATTTCTTACATTGTCCACATTTGCGTTTCGCGAAAATCGGCCGTAATTTTAATAATGTTAGAGAGACGAAACGAGAGAGGGAGGGGAAAAAAAGGTTATTACGTTTTTCCGGTTGGTTTTGATATACAAATTCTTGCGCGGCAGATATAAATTTAGTTATAGGTAAATGCGATTACATATCCCGCGCGCTCGTAACGTAACATATAGTAACAGCAAAAGCGATATCCGTGTCGGTTATCCTGATCGGGAAAGCGAAAAAAATTACATTATTTTACAAAAATTGACATATAGAGTGTCCGAGAACTAGCGCCATTTGTTCTATCCTGTATCAGTTATTCGAAATAAAATTTAAATCATAAACCCTATAATTAACAATTGAAATTGCTTTTGAAATTGAATTGTACTTGACTTTTGATTTTGGCTGACTCGCTATTCAAAGGCAGAAGAGATTTTAACTCACATTTTTCTCTCAGTCTCCAGTTCTTCCAAGAGGCGAGTTATAATATGTATCCGTTATTGGTATCCATTATCCGCGTATTTTTATTAAGAACTGCAAGAGAGACAAAGTTTTCTTCTGAATTTCTGTAATTACGTTCTAACGGATGGAAATAGATGACGTCGAAACTGATGATATCGAAATGGATGGCCGTTCCGCGAGAGAGAGAGAGAGAGAGAGTTGTAGAAAATAGGAGAGCCCTACACTGTAAATAGGTCGCGCCCGCATCCCTTCCGCGCCGCGCCGCAATACGCGGAGATGGCGTATAATTGCGAACGATCGTCCCGCGTTTCAAGAACGATCGAGGTTGACGCAGCCGCGCGTTGGTTGGCGTAATTCCGACAACAATGCCGCGCTAGATCTAATTCTTTCCCCGGGCATAATCCTACCCGAGATCGTTTTCCATTTAGAGACACTCCGCCATTTATCTGCCTCACGACGATCTCCGAGGGATTTCGCGGGCTCGCGCACATTAGTGCACCGTCGGGTTTTTAGCGGGCGCAGCCAATGAAATATGTGCATTCTGCGATGTAATGGAAACTGTTCGCGCTAGCTAGAAACGCTGCAGTAATTAAGATTACTCCCCGTTCATCCTCGGCGGAGAGAAAGAGAACAGCGGCAAAAACTGTTATTTGCATAATTCCCAAAGTAATGCGAGCGCGTGCATCGTTTCGGGGATTTCGCCACCGGCCGAATTAAAAAGTGCCGTGCGAGGCTGTTCGTGTCGCGCAATATTCTATACATTTATCTTTTTTTTTTCTTTCCTTTCATTTCTCTCCCCTCTTCTTTTGTTTTTTTCTTTCGTCCGCTCGCTCTCCGCGCCGTGCTCGATGTGCAAATGTTTAGTCGGCCGAATGCTCGAATATTTTAAACGGCGCGGAAACGTGGAAACACGCGTTCTTCTAGGCACGTTATTATCGCTCTTATATTCGCGCGTGACATTTGTATGCGCGTATACATATTCAAGTGATACGGAGGAAAGAAGATATAAGTGGTATAATTTCATTGCGAGACACAAGCCATAAATTTATACGGCCACATTTATCCGAGACGATGTGTTGCTGTTTATTACGTTTATACAATCGTGTGATATTAGAATTCTATGCACTGGATTTAATTTTCAACTATGTTGGAGAAAATACAAAACGCGACAGAAATATATTACGAGACATCAGAGACAGAAGCGGGAAATCGTTCTTGATTTTTATTAAATCGAGATAAAATTAACGATTTAATATCAAGAACTTAAAATATTAAAACAAGCAATTATAACTAATACAGCTAACTAGCTAAAATAAAATTAACGGTTTAATATCTATAAAAACTAAAAATATTAAAACAAGCAATTATAACTAATGCAGCTATAACTTACACAGCAACTAACTTACGTAGCTTTCGAGCGTTAAAGATCGCTGATTGGTACATCAAGATCGATCGTGAGACAATTGCAAAGATAAAAGCGCGGGGGCGATTCATCAAGCCCAACTATTCCGACAATGATTGTAATTTACTTTGTCATGAAAGAAAAAGGACCAGAAGGCCAACTTGCCAGGATACCTTTCGAAATTACTGCTTTCGTCCCAAATAGAGTTAGAGGATCGATGATCGCAAAGATAAAGCGCGACGGGGATAAATGAGTGCGATAAAGTTAGCGCTCGTAACGATCGAAATGATTAATAATTTGGTCTTTCGCTCACTCTCTCGTGTCTCGAATGTGCGCGTGCATTCGATGGTCCGGATAATAATTTGTAGGACTCAATTAACTTAGACTCACAGACCGAAATGTCGAACCGATTATCTCGAAAGCAAATTCAGACGTGTTCCTCTCTCAACGTGTAAACATACATGCATACGTACAACCAATTCGTTTTCTATGTAAACGCGGCTGTAATCAATTGCGAGTCGCCCGATGAATGATTTGCCCGATACCCATATTGAAATTTCAACGACATGATGGAGAGTTATAATATAGAAATTATATGCGGAGATGAGATTATTGTAATTTGCGAGCGCGATATAAATTGCACGCGGACGCACAAATTCTGACTATCCGTCGAAATTAACGCCATTTTCTGTACACTTGAAAGCTGTTTATACGACTACGGCAAGCCTCAAGTAAGTAGCCTCTATATTTCTTGCTGCGCTCCCGTTCGAATCGCTCGTCTTTCGTTAACGACGCTGTAAACATCGATAGATCTGTGTGTAATTGTCTCGTACGTTCTATTATCAATTTATCGTTCCAAAGAAAAGCATTTGCAACACTTGGCTGTTGGCCATTAAACATTTAACTCTTTAATATATCAAACGATCGTTACGCCGTTCTTACTGTAAAACAAAATTTCATACAATTTTTATCAGAGAAAACAATTCCATATTAAATTAGCTGTGTGAAGTTGGCCCTCCACTACTGACAATTCAAAAACGACCATTATCACTCGATTGATGGTCGTTTGGTAGTATTTAATAGTCCATTCTCGATGATTGGTAGTCAAAATTGTAAATAATAATATGAAAATAAAACTTATGCGCGTGAAGCTCCTCCTTTCGCAAAATATGACTTTTCAGGCTACGTAAGTAATCATAAGTGTAAGCATTCGTTTGGTGGTTGTTTATTGATATTTAATAGTCTATTCTCGATGATTGAAAGTCAAAATTGTAAATAATATTATAATATGAAACAAAGACATACGCGATATCTCCTTTTTATATTATTATTTACAACTTTGTCTACCAACCATCGAGAATGTACTATCAAATACTACCAAACGACCGTTTTTTAATTTTTAGTAGTGAGGGTGGGATCAATTTCACACAGCTTATTAAATTTCGAAGGTGCTACTATATATCGATTTTTCTGAAGCCGTTATCATTAATGTAATTAATATTAAAATAATACAATTATTATTAAAATAATACAAGAAATACAAGCATTAGTTACTTAAGTCAATTTAAAATAATCAAATAAATCTAACTGTAAATGAAAATTAATTTAACAATCTAAACGTTACATGCAAAAATATTGAAAAAACGGCAGCGTTCCATAAACAACGCTTGCTCCACATTAGAAGAACAAATTGACGAGATAAGGATTAATGAATTGTATTATTATATACGATTGAGAATAATGTGAGTTCGATTCGAAAGTTAAAACGGGAGATACTGAAATTGATAATGTAACAGTTCGATATTTTTGTTGATAATGTTACAACTAAGGATTGAATATCACTGTCGGAGAGAGCTGAATGTTTTATAGTATCTGCACCATTGCAACTCTTTTTCATGTTTACGTAGTTTCATGTTTATGTAATTGAATAGCCGATAACAGCTCACGCTGCATATCGATTTTTGTGTTAAACACAACGAGAATCTAGAACGAACAAGAAATATAAATACAAGTTATATACACACATATAGCATATATATATTACATATTTTATATATATACATATATATATATTATATATATATACGTATATACGTATGTATATGTAAGTGGCATTTTCAAGAATTGCAACGCAGCCAGAACAAAGATCTATATTGCTTGTCGATTGCGGTCGTGCACTGCATATAGGCATTGTATCATCTCTCGTTTCGTGAGTGCTTTAATAATCTCTTGAATCGGATTATCACGTTGAAGCATTTTAAACAATTCGCAGGACATTTTTGCACGGAAAAAATCTCGTAGGTACCCGTCGCGAATCCCTCATGCATCTTTTACGTGAAAATTTAGTATCTATAGCAACGCTTACGCGCATTTTTCTTTCTCGCAGGCATGCCGCGGGACGCGACTGGACAAAGGTGTGAAATTTTTTCATGAGACGGACAGTAAGAGCTCCACATACAGTATACCCGCCTATGCAGACATCATGGTCGCGTACTCCACTTACGACGGTATGTATAAGGCGTGTACGTAAGTAGAGGAGGCTATACAGAATTTTTATTACGCTCTTCTAATTTGTAAGTGTCTACGAAGAAGCTATTGAAATGCTTATCGCGCGGAAATGCCACGCGTGTGGAGCTCTATTTCGAAACGGCTTATCTCAAGATAATGCAGCGAATCTGAACGAAAGCGGCGCTTTAGGACGGGGTGACGAAGAGTTATAGGAATGTCGCGGCGCGGATAATCCAGTCGTGCGGGAATATATATTTGCCGACATACTTTCCCATTCAATTTACTGGAGTACGTGTTATCTGATATCCATTTGAAAAACTTTGATGACGAGGAATTGTAATTACGTGAATGAGATTATCATGATTTGTGGCACGATGCAGGTTGAATTATTTAGCATGTTGATATACCTGAATAGAGGAAATTTAGTAAAGCTTCCCCCAAAATAATAAGAAATAGATAATAAATTAGATATGTAATTATAAGTTAGACATATATTAATTATAATTAGTGTTTGTCCGAAACAATTTTTGATGTTTTTTTGCGATGTGAAAGCATAGAAAAAAACGGCTTATATAACTTTTTCTCTGCTAGTAAAAAATAAATGACGATTAATTATTACTATTAATAACAAGTCAACGTGAAAATTGATCTTCTCCAATTTTTATTATTAAATATTATATATGTTATAGATAAAAGTGTGAAAACATTAATTATACATGATGTTATATAATCCGAATAATAGAGAGCGGTTGAAAAAATAATGATGTTTATCGCTTGAATGAAGGTACGCAAATAATGAATGGTCTCGTATATGGTATCCGCTAATGAGGATGTTTGCTCAAATTTCAAGCCTTTCGGTAACCATCATTAATACATGTAACGCAGATATATTGAGAGTATTTGCAAAGATACAAGATAGATTACACTTGTCGAACTCATACACGTAAAACGAAATTGTTCAATTTATCAAACTGGAAGCCAATAAAGAGAACAATATTCCGATAAAATTTCTTCTAAAAAATCAATGAACTTTGTTAAAAAGTGTCGCGTTTCTGATAGAAAACTATAGAAAGCATTTAATTTAGAATTTAATTGTAACGTCAAAATTTATACTTTGATGCTCAACGCTGTTAAGTAAAATGTGAGAAATCACAAAATGTCTGTCAAATTTCTGTTGAAAAAAAATCGAATCGCCCACTAAAAAAATTTGCCCTTAGATTTGATAGATTGGACCTTCTACACGCTTGTTAGGTTTTATTTTTTCGCATCCTTATTGATCTATATCTCTTACTACGCTTTGTGCTCGCTGCGATACCTTCCTGAACCATCTGCAGGCGGTGCTCAAATTCCCAACGATAATTGCATTGAAATGCACTTCAGTGCCAGTTTTCGTACTCCGTCGAGCAGAAGATATCAAGTATTAACGATATATGTCTATACATATGTATATACATTTGATATACATATATATGTATATACTCGATTACTAAACAATAAACGGATATGGCGAATGCGAATTAAGCTTCTTCTTCTGGCACACGTCCGAGATTCTAAAGCGTCATAAGCTGCTTATTCCGAATAATGCAGGCTTCGTGAACGGTACGCCCGCGTGATGTATAGGTAATCTACGCCAATTCCTCGATTACACCTCGCCTGCTAACGCTCCTCTGCTTCCAGGCCGACCGAAACTCGTTAATGAATGTAAACCAATATTATTTGCAACTCAATGCCGCCGATACGAGCCAGCTGCTCTTTGAAATTTCCAATTATTATACCAATCATTGTGTGTTTGAGATTGCCTCGCTCTCTATTTAAAATTTCTTGTGCGTAATTCGACATTACATCCAGGATTTCCGCGGGTATAATATTCTCCAGAGCTCTCTCTATTCTTCATCACGAGGAGAATCACATCAAATCTCAGTAGAATTTCATGTCATGATACGATCGTTTTCAGGGGCTGCTGCAGCGCGTATCTTTTAATTCCGGTTGAAAACCGCTTCTTTATAAAAGAGATCTCTAAAAGCGAATTCGTTGCGCGAGCATCGGCGACAGGGGCTCGCACAATGCGACGCGTACATTTTCGCGCGGTTTCCGCTTGCGTGTAAACATTTGACTAGCTGTTGCTAATGGAGTGCGAGAATTTGTGTTGACAGTGGTGCACGTCGACGGGGGGTACAACAACGCGTTGTCTAGCGGAGAACGTCAATCAGTCAACTGATAAATCGATATACGTGCGCTCGTAACATTGTCTCGAACTGCATCTAGTATATTCAACCTAAATACGATTACAATAGTTCGATATATCATACGGCAGTAGTATACAATACATTCGAATGTCTAACATTCCTCGCTTCTCCCGTTATTCCGAGAGTTTCCTTCGCTTTTATCGAACATTGCTTCAAACCAAAAGTCGCTCCAAAGCAGACATTCGATGACTTTATTCGATAACTAATTTTAAGTCTTCATTATTAAAGAATTTATATAACTATAAATTCATTTTGTTAATAATAATAATTATTATTTTATTTCCCGGCATTCTTTGACGATTTTTATCGCAAAATCCAAAAAGTTTTACAAATTAGAATTAAAATATGAGTGAATTCATGTAAAACAAATTCTCGGTACATTTGAAATGATAAAATTTCCCAGTAATTTTTTTCGATAAATCAGATGTGCTATATAAAAAATGTAGAGAGCATTGTACTCACAATAAATCCAAATAAACCAAATTGGTCTGTAAGCCGTATTTATCGCGTATATATATTTCTCGGTGTAAAAAACGGGACAAGAAAACATTTTAAAAAATTGCATAAAAATAATGTATCAATTTATGTTGTAAAAAGCAAGAATGCTCGAGGTGGAAATAATCGTGTAATTTCTAAGATATTGATGCAAAATAAATATTGGCATTTTTCTAGAAATCAGGAGGTCTCGTGACTGAAGTTGGATATCATCCAAGCTCGTTCAAATCAAACAACTATTTTGAAGCTATTCGGGCCGTTCGTGGCCAAGTTTCACGTAGTGATACATTTTTTCGCTTCTCTCTTCATCTCTGTTCACAGATCGATGCAGAAGCATTGTTCTCTCTTCCGATTTTATATTTTTCTCATGTACCCATTAGCCGGCGTAAAAAAGTCGGATTGTCAGATTTTAAGTTTCTTAGCCAATTCTAATCAAATAAAGTACGTAATTCATGTTGTACACTCGCTCACTAAAAGGTTGCGACACTTTCTTTTTTATAGGTTTCAAAACGCACTAATATTTTGCAAATGCGGACCACGATTGGTGTTATACTGTCTCTAGACTAAAGATAGTACATCGTGGTTTGCATTTGCAAAATATTAGTTATCTATAAAGTATATATTACGTATATTAAATATAAATTAGAAACCTATAAAAAAAAAAGTGTCGCAACCTTTTAGTGAGCGAGTGTACACCGTTTTTTGATTTTAATCAGCCAAGTGGAAATCATTCTTTTGAAACTTTACAGATCGAAATTACTATAACTGGATATGTTACACATCATTATAAAAATATATATACTTTTATAGTCATTTACTAATAGACTTTTGCATACTCTTTAAAATATTTTCACACGTTAACTGTACTAAATGAATAAGTTTTAGATACAGTGCAATCTGAGCTAGCCCTTCGAATAGAAACCAATTGCAAAATGATTCCATTTTTTTTCTTGTAAATCCACGAAATTATTTTACAAAAGAGAGAAACAATTATAATACATATAAAGGAAATAATTCTAGCAAGATTAATTTATTACGACAAACCATTGACAGAAGATAATTATGACAGTAAATTAAATATAATACTACGGTATTATATTTCTCCTAATGATATAATAAAATTTACGAACATTATTCCAGAAAAATTTTGAAATAATAAATCTATAATTTTATTACATTCTTTATTAATTTAATAATTATAAATTTTATTGTTCGAATATATGCAACTTATACAACATTATATATGACCAACGTAATTATTCCGATATGCAAGTGTAATTATTTATTCACGATATCAACGATTGGTATTATATGTATAAATATACAAAATTGCATTTAGTTACATATATAAATTACAGAAAGTGTCACGTAACCCAATAAAACAAAGTAATAAAACTTATTAGAAATTCTGTTAGTAATAAATAATACTTTGCAACATATGTGTATACTGTATGTGTCATAGAAATATTTTAAAAAAATTGTGTTATCCATTTTTAAGATATTTTTATGGCAGTAAATTTACGCTAATTTAGTTCACAATATATTGTCTTTGATTCATAGAATTCTTTATACGCTACAAAAAGTTTTTTTTTTATTTTCGCTAATATTGGCGGAGTTAGAGATAACGCCCTAAGCACAATTCCAGAAGTAACTGTGCGATAATTCAAACTTAGCAAATCTGACGCAAACGCTCTGACAATATGCGTGGGAAAATATCACAGAAGGTACCAAAAGAAATATTGCAAACTCTTGACGGAGATTCGCCTAAATTCGGTATCGAATGGCACGAACTTTGTTACGATCGCAGTTTCGGTGATTTATTGCGAATGCGAACTGCAGCGCGCGACAATTCGCGAAAAAACGAGGAAACTAGAAAAAAAAGCGACACATCGAAACTCGGCAAACCAACAAATACGTTGGCAGGTTGCTGGGGAAAGACTGTCGCACAGCAGCAAAGCATACCACACGCGATGTCAATCCTGCGGGATTGGATTAATGAAAAATACCTGTCGATTGTCAGCGGGAGATAACTCAGATAATCACAAATTACGTCCGACGAGATTATCACGTTGTTACCAAAGCGCTCGTGTCTCATTATGAAAATGACATTCGCGCGTGGTTGGGTATAGGTATCGATTACAATTAAATTCCTCGTGTGAAAGCCCTCGAATAAAAAGTTTCTTCAAAAATTTTGCTGCTGCACGTGTACGTAAATTGTACAGCCTCAAATGAAATTTACAGAAGATACGCTTATCTTCTTACGGAATTTAATAAAAATATTCAAAAGCCGCTACTTGTGCGTTAATATCATCCGCTTTGAAATCGGATATTGTATGGCCACGAGCGACAGAGCTTACTTGCGGAAATACGCCGCGAAATTTACTCGGTTGCTCGCAACTTTGCTCACATCTACTTTGCACGTCTATATCGATTAAGGAGGGTAAACAGAATTTATGTAATGCGAGGTATATTCTCTCTACGGAATGATGTTTGCGGATATACCCCTCGTCTGTCGTATTAAGCGAGCTCGATAAACAGGATTTGTTTATAATAGAAACAGAGAAGAGAAACAGATAAATGTACCCAAAAGACGATGTAGTTCACGTTGCCTTTCAACTGCAACGTTTTTTTTTTTTTGCATCTTGACATAATTGCGTGCACGCAGTCGGTATCAAAATCGAATTAATATCCGCGAATTGAATGCGGGCTTCATTAAAATGGGACGCATAAAACCTCCAATAATATCTCATCGTATTTACGCATTTCGCAATGATTATTAATGATTATTACGTGGGTGCGTGCGCTGATTGCATAGCGGATTTATTTCAGCATATCTGGAGTAATACCGACCGCAATCGCAGCGAGCGAGTAAACGGATTTTTCGAATTCTGTCTCGGTGAATGTCGATTCTCTCACGCGACGTGAAATATGCGGAGTAACCGGGGTGGTCAGACAGTTGCGGCGTGTAATAAACGTGCGGCGCGCGGGTGGTCACGCTATTAATAGCCCAAGAAACAAGATTACTTGCGTGTGCGTGTATGCGTGTCGTCAAATATGCAGCAGGAAGTGGACGTATTGTTAATAATGTGGATGGTGCTGAATTCGCGGATAACACCTGCAGGCACCGATGCTAGAGGCGTCATTAATATGCCATGTAGGAGATAAGCGCGTAGTTAACATACCGATGGTGATAGCGAACGTGCATTTAACACTTCGCTATGGAAGTGAACGTATAGTTAATACATCATCGAGCACGTGTACGTCCGGTTAGCACTAAGCTGTTTCACGTCACACAATTCGCGTTACATGTGTTATTGTTAGTGCTTAGCGCACACATTGCGCCCGATTCTCCCAAAACACGGTACACAATTACAAGTAATAAATTATTGTGATAGATTATTGATTATTGTGCTTAATAAGAATCTTTTAAAATAGTTATTTTTAGTATTTAATACGTAATATGTTTTTCGAATTGAACTTTTAATTAAAGTTTCTTAAACGGAAAATCCATCTAAATTTAAAGTTAAAAGTAATATTTCGGCATCTGTAGATGAAGATCATTTGATCTAAAGATTTATTTTTTAACTGCTAGTATTTTAAAACAAACGCTATTTGAATTTTTATGATAAAAAATGGCCCCATTGATATAGTTGTAAAGTTCCAAAATAAAAATAGCCACGGTGAGAATCTGGCGCACGCTGTATACGCCATTTAAGGAGAACACGTTGTCAGAATATATCAAGCAATCGATTTCTCTTACATATTCTTGAATGGTAAGTAGATGCAAATGCGGTTTTTGCCTATTCTAACAACGTGTTTCCTGTAATACGCTTCGATCCTACAATGCAACCTTTAGAACGTAACGGAATTCTACGTCGCGACGATGCTTCATGTTGCTCGAATCGTAACTGTCCAATTATTAAAATTTATCAACGAGCACGTAGATAGTTTCCCTGTAACTTGAAACTCGTCTTTGAATAATCGGCGGTGAAATGTGACTGAAGTGGTTGATGTAGCATTCAATGTCTTTGCGACGGACATATATGGTCGAATCGATCGCAATGTGTTTGGGCCAAAGTCGATGATAAGCTCTCATCGACAATAAGATCAATGGAATACCGAAATAAGAAGCGAAATAATTGAACAGTTTACGGTGCAGTAAGATCCGATCAAGCATATAGCGCGTGCAAAGTAATCCCAGATTAGACAATTGCAATTCCAATCTGTAATATAGATCGGGAAGGAAAATGAATCTAATTTCAAACTAATAGGAATGCTATTGAGTTCATGCAAACCATGAAGTCTAAAGACAGATCGAGGAAGTAAGAGGCCAAGAACTATTTATGATGATTCACTTCAGTGTCTTAATTATATTCCACTTGAATTACGATTTACGTTAAAACTTTGGAATCTATAATTGTTGTTTGATTCGTTTCCGATTCTACATTGTCATTAGGATTACGATTAAGCATTAATTATGAAATTCGAAATTTATTAAAACTTTTAACTTTTGCATAATTAAAGTCAAGTAATTAATGAATAAAGCCTTATTAATAAATAAAATCATCGCGAATGAATAAAATACAACATTTTCTGAGAAACACCTCAATAGCCATTTTAACAATTTTCTTAGAAATATTATATATAAATATTTCATAAAGATTATGTTTCGTTAATAGTGCCGTTGCCATCCCTAATCCCACGTTGCTTCGCTTAATCCCAAGCCCATTAGGCGAGGTCTAAGACTCGATGCCATCTAAATGTAGAATGTACGCGGCTTTCCTAAGAAGTTTAAGTGCTGTACCAAGGTAACACCGAACTTTGTAATTTCAGGTTAAAATATATCTGTTCCGCGCAACACAATTAGCAAGGAGTATGCGGTTGCTCGTATATGCGCGCGGAAAGTTAAGATTAATTTAAACTTATTGCCCTAGAAAGCTGCAAGTTTTTATTAAAGACTGGGTTATCTCTCGAAGTCGTAACAAATCTGTCAACTTGGCGACGTGAACTATCCTTAACAACTCCATAAGCCTCAATAAATTCATTTTAATCTCATTTTATTTTTATTCCCAAAACTTTTTTCAAAGCGAGCGTAATTAAGAAACATAAACCACTCTTATCTGCTTACACGCTAGGTTGTACTTTCGAAAGTTTCATATTTTTTTTCTAGTATACTCCTAGAGACTAGAAAGAAAAATCCACGTTACATATTTTAACGCGTTAGAGAAGGTAGGTATACGTTAACCGTCGCGTGTATACGCGACTCACGTATATACTCGATACATACATTATCCCCAGAGTTTTTAATTTCTACCATGTCCCATATCGCTACCTTGCCTTACTATCACGGGTCATGGGTCATTCGCTGTCGCCGGTGCCCATCCACCTTAGCGAGAGACAGACGGCGATAACGCTTCGCATGCATCCCGGCGCTGCGCGAAGTGTATCTCATTACGTGTATCGGAAAGGCGAATCAATCCACTAACAGTCCGAGAGTAAATCACGCGTTACGACTTTCAGGTTTTTACTCGTGGCGCAATCCGGACTCGGGCTCCTGGTTCATACAGGCGCTCTGCGTGGAGCTGGAGCTTCACGGGCGTAGCCGCGATCTACTCAGCCTAATGACCTTCGTTAATCGCCGCGTCGCCATCGAGTATCAGTCCTACGTGCCGCAGAACGAGAAATTCCACGGGAAAAAACAGATCCCGTCGATTGTCTCGATGCTGACCCGCCTCGTGTACTTTCGTGACGAACACACATCGACACCGGACAATATCGACAGCGGATCGGAGAGAAAGGAAGCCGAGGTGCGCGAAAAAGTAACGTAAAAGTGGCAAAACACTCGTCCTCGAACGAACTTTACGATGATGGATTTTCCGACAAAACCCGACAGATTGATTCCAGTCGAGTTGTTTTGATGTATCGCACTTTTTGAGAAGTGACTATCGATCGGCGCGACTCATCGAAAATGTTTGGATTGTTTCGATTGAGTTTCGCAGTTTCGCATAAAGAATTCAAGAATTTAATATGTGTAAAAGGGAGAAAAAATTGTTTACATTTAGATGAAAATTGTGTCCTTTGTTTTTTTTTTACTAGAAAAGAAAACAAATATTCTCAAATATCTTAGTTGTATTATAATTAAAATGTAATTAAATACTTTTAATTAAAATTACTTTATATGTGACATATACATATATAAAATTCAATTTTGCTTGTATTCTTTATACTTGAGTGAACGTTATTATTAAAATATCTCATTTATATTATAATTACTATTATTAAACCAGTAAAGAGAGAAAAAATGATTTAGATTGCAGATTTAGTTAATACCTAAAATAGCTTTATAGAGCTTTATAGAGATTTATTATACATTTATATATTATACATTTCCCCGATCATTTTGCGTGTGCGTTTACAAATGAATTCGTGAACAAATTATGAAGTATCATTAAACGCTTATGATAGCGCTGGACGGAGTAAAATAAATCGCCAAAGCGCATTAAACAATACGCCGTAAATTATTATATTATAATTTGATTCACTATATTATTCTTAATTAGTATGCTAATTACATGCAGATTTTCATAACGCTTTTCAAAGGCTGTTGTCACAACGGTAAAGAATAATAACGACTGACCTTTCGCGCTATTTAAATTCGTCTCGACATATCGATCGTGATGTACTGGACACATAAAAACAATGCGGAGAAAACTCCATTTACGAATAGTTAGTCAATATCTTTCCTTACGCAAAATTTAATTAGTATTTTAAGATTTACTTACCACGATCGATTTTGATATACTGTAACAAGTAACATAATAATGCGAAGAAAATTTCATTTACAAATAGTCAGCCAATATCCTTTCCTCACACAAAACTTAATTATTATAATATTTTAAGATTTATTTGTCACGATCGATTGTAATGCATTAACAAGTAAAACAATGCGAAGAAAATTTCGTCTACAATTAGTCAGCCAATATCCTTTCCTCATACAAAATTTAAATATTACAGTATTTTAAGACTTATTTGTCACGATCGATTGTAATGCACTAATAAGTAAAAACAATGCGAAGAGAATTTCGTTTACAAATATAGTCAGCCAATATCCTTTCAAAATTCGCACAAAATTTAATTAGTATTTTAAGATGGTGCCCACTTGAATTTTCTCTTCTATGCGAGAGAATACTCGATAGGAAAATTTTTTGATTCCTGAATCTAATGGACGGGAATTGCTTGGGTGTTTGCTCGCGAGAAATCGGGGGAAACTAATTCCTGTCCTCCTAAATACATCCCTATGCCCGTGTCGGTGAACCGACATGGAAGATCCTGGGGTCTATTAACCGCAGTGCGTGCGACTGCGATAGCATGTTCAACGTCAGATTAGATACCTGCGGTCAAAGGAGTTAGACGCTATTAACCTTTGTCTTGGAAGACGCGAAGTGGAATCCACGAATTATGCCGTTAACCAGATGCTATCGCGAAATGTAATCTCCTTCGTGCCGGCGTAGATCGATCTACGGCGATAATACAGACAGCTTGTATCCCTGGCAGAGATCACGGCGTCGCTTAATCGCGTTGTTAAATGTTGTTATATGCATTATGGGTGCCTGTACGATAATAAACGGTGAGTAAATGTAATAAAGTTATCAATGAATATAAATAGACGCACGCGTTGTGTGCGGTGAACAAATGTATATTTCGAATTTATTTGTAAAATTGAAATATTTTAATATATTTGTAAATTTTATTCCCTTTAACTAAATCCGTATAATATTTTGTATTGCTCATATTTTGAATGCGTGAAAAAATGTTTTAAATATTACTAAACATTGATGCTAAAAGTCAACGTTACGTCATTTTATTTGTAGCTCAATGAAATTCATAACGTTTCGTTATATTGGCTATGAATAATGCGAAAAATCGTAAAATAAATCCCGTTTTATATTCAGTATACCTCTTTTCAATAAAAATAGATTTGCTGCTAATTGACAGTATTATTGATTAACGTATGCGCGAGGAAAAGAAATGAAAATAACAAAGAAGCCCTTATTCTCTTACGGCAGAAATTAAATCCCGTTTGTGACTGAAAATTGTAAAATAACTGTGCAAAATATGAAAGATTGTTCTAACCGTAATGTTAGCTCGCGGAAATTATTTTTGAAACAAAAGAATATAATGTATATTCTTTCTATCATAAATTCACTGATTTTTTACTTGTTCGCGCATTTTTAACATTCTATTTTCTTCTCTATATAGATTTAATAAATTTAATTACTTGATTGAAACAGGAAATTTAAAAAGTCGCATTATTGTCTTTCCTTACATATGTAATTAAACTCCATATTTAATAAAAGATAAAATTTTTTATAATCAGAATCTATAAAATTTTAAACAATTCAATGAAACATACAGAATGTTTCTCATAATGGCAAGACAACAAATGTACAATTCCTTTTATCTTCCCTAAAATGTAGACTATTTTGACATGTCTTCTCTATCCAGAATATACTCTATCATGGATCCGAGAATTATCGCTCGCAATCTGGAACCTTCGTTCGGGAAACGAACCTTTCCCGTAAGAACAGTGAAGTGAAGCGCCAGGCGGTAAGAAACCGATTCAATCACTGGCGCGAAAAAAGGGTCTAGCTGTCGAGGAAATTCCTCAAGCCGTTTTGACTTTCTGGCTGGCAATTTGAACGATTGCGAATCGATTCCATCTACTCTGCTGAGTGGTGCCCTCGAAGAGCGAGCCCTCGAAACTGTGCGGATGGCTTGTCTGAAACGCGATCAAAGGGGATTTCGGTTTGGGCAGCCCTCGTGTCTCTTTATCGAGGCTCGTGGAGTACACCGCGTCAAGTAGAAACCACTTCGTTCGACGATCGTAACGATGATCCGATCAATATGGATGCATACCAAAGCTACGCGCGAAGTACAACTCTGTATGGTAAACGGTAACATCGTTTTTTTACAATCCGAGACATTCGATACTTTATAGCTTATTCACTGCCAGGCAAAAGCACTAAGCTTCCTTTCCGCGTTCCAATCGCGTCCTTTCTTGCTTCCGTGCCCTGCAGCAGCGACGGAATGTTGACTTTCCCTCGCCGTAAATATGCAAACAACGCCGACACATATCTTTTTTATAAACCACCAGTCGCTACTTTGCAACTTTTATGAAACGGTTCGTGCAAAGAACGCGCGGAACTATATATTTTACCAAAGAGATACGTGAACATATTTACATATACCGTTCCCCACAAGAATTTTAATTTTTGAACATTTGAAAAGAGAACTTTCCAACTTGAATACGCCAATTCGAAATATCGTACAAGGAAACCTATGTAAGTAAGTAGATGAACTTACAAATTATTGAATTACAAACAAGAGAGAGAGAGACAGAGAGAGAGAGAGAGAGAGAGAGAGAGAGAGAGAAAGAGAGAGCAGTTTTCTGTCTTTCGCAAATAAAGAGAATCGAGACGCGAACTACAACGTGTGCTGCAAGTGGTAATATTTCATCTTCGAAGCAGTTTCGACTCGACTCGTAATAAATCAGTCCTCCACAGACGGCTGTATCATCGATATATTTTATATACTACACGGGAAGATAAGTTACAAGATGTTGCGCTGGTGCCGCTTCTACACGTGCCCGCGCCGACGTCATAATTTCAGACCCTAGCAGCGATAGTTAATCCGCGCACCATCCGCGCTGTGGAAAATCGAAACTGCGATCGCGATACACCGCGCCGTGTGTTCTTATAGCTAATCACCCCTTTCCCGCGGCGCAATCTGCACTACATCCGGCGTAATTCCGGTAGAATGAAAGCAACGCACCGAGGCATTCCGAGAAGAGACGGCGTCACGAGGAGGTATAAACTAAGGCGCCATTCGTCTTAATCCCATTTGCGAGCTTCGTGCGGCTGGGACTGAATGCTTCGCGACTGCATGCAAAATTTCTATCCCGTTCGCACTCGCGGGTATTACTATTTCGGTTTTGTTTTCGATAGAACAGTGCCATCGCGCTTGGTAAAATACGATGCGACGGGTAAGAGCAACCGCTCTTAGGAATCGCACTCGCGATTTCATCAATTTACGCGCGTACATAAATATATATATATATATACATGTTTGTATACAAACATATATGTATATGTACATATATAAGCAGCCAGCAATTCCTGTCGCTGTTCATTTGAATTCGGAAGAAATTACTACCAATTCCATTAAACGTGAGAGAACATGAAATATGTTCAAATAAAAGCGTGCTGCAAAAAAGAGACATTTTGAAATAACGATCAGTTCTTACGTTGAATTACCATTGAGTGAAAAGTTTGACATTATTAATTAATAATAACATACGAATAACGATAAACTTGGTAACAGCAATACAATTTCAGTTTTCGAAAGCTCCATTCAAGCTTATTCGTTCATGATTATTGGAAGAATGACGGAGCAATGTCCATTCGACGTCATTCACCGCGGAGCAGATTATGCCAATTTCTCACCGACGTCCATTGACATTGCGGATAAAGCAACTATATGGAATTCCGCCAGGCGAGATTGACCGTCACGAGATGTTATTGACCGCCACTAATTCGCCGACCGTCAACACACCGCTACTAAAACACATCGCGACTCGCGGAAACGGTCGCGAAAGTGATGACCGTGCATATCGGCGTGGTCACGGGGGTTCGCGCAAATTACTGGCGAACGGGTGGGACATGTCTCCTCCATTCTACATCGGGATATAATCCGTTTTGATCCGCGAATGCCTTTCGGTACATCGCGATGGCGCGGATCGGCTGAATGAGCCCGGGACCCGGCTGGAAAGTTTTGACGCGATCCGCGACGCGCTATCGATCCGCCGCCGGTCGACAACTCGGTCAGCACTTTCGCCATGTCGGTGTCGACAACTACGTAATCTTTTTGTCGGCCCCTCTTTCGGCATGCGAGAGCCATAATTCCGGACCGACGGGGGATAGGTATCCTTCGGGCGTCGCGTCGTTGTCAGCGCGTGAACGCGGTCGATCTTTTTTATTT